TTTCCTTATCACAACTTACCATGTATCAACCTTGTGCTATAAATAACTTCTTGTCCATATTAATTCCCAGAGCTAGATAGGACTACCCTCATTTCACAAATAATTAACTCAAGAGTTCAGACAGGTAACTGGTTAAACAAAGCTTACTAGTTCAAACCAAAGTGTTCAAGTGGCCCAATGGTCTAAACTCATGATTTTTTCCACTACACAAAATGCATCCAGAAAGGTAACAATTTGGCAGTTCCATTCTGATACTTCACTTGGTTATTCATGGCCATAGTTCTGCATAACCTAAAGAAAAACCAGTCAAATTTCTTGAAAAACAATCTACACTCCATTACTTAACCCACTCTAGTCTTACTGCTGTTCAAAATGGAATTGGTCTCCTAAGGTCATCTATGGCTTCTATATTGGCATGGCCCTTTACCTTTACTTCAGTGGCCACTTTACCTTTACTTCATCTCTTGCTCTAGTAATTGATTTCAATGATACTCCTTTTGAAATCCCTTATGAAATCTCTCTCATCTTCCATTATGGCTCCTCTGCCTTTCCTCCATGACTAATTCAGTCTTCTCATAGAATTTTTTTTATATATATATATACTCCTTAAATGTTTCTTCCACTATCATAAGTATCCTACTCTTACCATTATAAAACTTTCCTAGGCAATATCATACCCTACATTGTTTTAGTTAACAACATTATACTAATGGCTGAACTTCTGACAGGTGTTTGCTGAATGCCTATCATGAACTAGCCATTTTTGGTGACAAATAATACAGGATTCTCGATGGATCTTAGAGGCTCTGTCTACAGCCCAGTTATTTGTAATAAGCACCAGAAACATGGACACCCACACCTTAATTTTCCATGGATACTTTAAACTCAACATACCCCCCAAACTGAACTCATTCCCCTCCACTCATAATCTATTCCTTTCTCCCACTATGATGTTAATAGGTATCATATAATAAAAGCCTAAGGTAAGGACCACCTGGCCACCAGTATTGGTCTGTTTTACTTTCTAAATCTCTCTAAAATTTGACTGCCAGTTTCCATCTCCACTGCCAGATAGCTAGTTTAGGGCAATTCTGGATTACTCACAGCCTACAACTCTCTCTCCACTTCTTATATTCTCCATAATCCATTCTTCACAGTTTAAAATAAACTTTCAAAAAGGCAAGTCTGATTGTATCAGCTCTCCAAACCCTGTTCTTAGGGAATTCTTTAAGAACTCTTAAAATTCTTCAGGGGCTCCTTGTTACCATCAGTAAAAGCCCCAAACCCTTTAACATGACTTTCAAGGCACTGCTTAAAAAGGACCCTGGCTCAGTTCTCCAGCTTAATATTTTACTGCTCCAGCTTACACTCTACTCCAAACTGAAGTTCTCAGGTCCCAGAATATAAATATATACGTTCCCTTTCATTTTCAGACTTTTCTATATTTTATTCTCTCTTCATTCCTTGGCTGGTTCCCTGTTACTGTATTTTTTTTTTAAAGATTTTATTTATTTATGTGACAGAGATCACAAGTAGGTAGAGAGGCAGGCAGAGAGAGAGGAAGGGAAGCAGGCTCCCTGCGGAGCAGAGAGCCTGATGTGGGGCTCGATCCCAGGACAGATCATGACCTGAGCTGAAGGCAGAGGCTTTAACCCACTGACCCACCCAGGCGCCCTATCATATTTTTTTAAGTGAAAGAGATCACTTCCATGACCAACGAAGTTAGGTGTTAGAGCCTTTCCTGTATTTTCCTACTGTATTCTGTGTTGATCCCTATTGTAATACGCATTGTTCTCATACAGTCTAAACAACACTTGTGAAGGCAGGAACACTTCTGTATCTCCAGTGCCTGACACACAGTATACATTTTTCAAATAAACTTAAAATGATTACATCTCAACTCAAAGAGGAAGAAAAAAGGAATTCATCTGCAAACTTTTTCAATTTTCTAATTTAATAGAAATAACCAAAACAATGTGGCTTTCAAACAAGGCTTTAAACTAATCTAATACAACTTCTACAACACATTCCAGAGCATTATAACAAGAAATATTTACAGGCAGCTAATGTATTAAATAACCATGAAAAAGAAAATCTTGCTTTTAATACACACCAGCAAAAAACACAGGAACGGAACAATTAGAAACTGCAACCTTGTTTTAAAAAATTAAATATGATTATTTAGAGAATACAATACCACAGAAACAGCACTTTTTCTTTAAGAATCATATTGAAGGGTAATTATGTGCAAAAATAATAGTTGTAGTAGTAGTAGTAGTAGTAATAATAATAATAATAATAATGAGGGGAGGAGACCAGTTGAAATACTGGAAGCAAGGAACTAGTAAGGCTGTGAATTTAACCCTTTCGTGTGTATGTCTACATAGAAAATAACAGGCTTTCAGATTGCACATACCGTTTTTATAGGCTTATATACATGTTTCACTGTGATTTAAAACATAGTAAATGCCTACATTTTTCAGACCAGGAGCAGATAAGCACTTCCTTCTTAAGACTGAAATTTAGGCCACACCTGAAAGGGAATATTGCAGTGGCACCTACAATATCATTTGAGTGCCTTCCCACATACAAATTTGGTGAATTCTAAAGAAGAGCATTTTTTACAGATTACTTGCTAGAAAAGGGCTAAACTTAATTTTGTACATTTTGTAGTATGATTATGACAAATACGTCCAAATTGACCTATTTTTGAAGATAATTTTCTCAGATACAATAAAAAATATATAAAAGACCACGAAGGCAAACACAAGGAACTAAGATGGAAGATATGTTTTACATGCATTTTGGCCAAGTAAAGAAACCATCATATCCAAGAGTACATGTTGAAATCTGAAATGTCTATGTAAACTGTGGCATATAAATTTTTTTTCTTAAAAAAGTACCTTCAATTTTTTTTTACTCAAATACCTACTTTTAAAAAAATATGCAACTTTCCCCAATTTTTAAAATAAAATGCCACAATATATTGTCATAAGCTCCAGCATACATTTAAATTTCTTATTTTTTAAAAGATAGACTGGGTGATATGCATACAAACTTTCCTATAAAATCACCATCTGGGAGAGGACTATGACGTGCCCATTAGGCAACAGACTTAAAGCAGTGTTATTGCTTTATCGAGGAGGAGAGAACTGTCAGAAAAATAAAAGAAAGCATCCAGGTTCAATTCAAGATCAAACTGATACACCTTGAAAACCTTGGATCATCTTCAGCAGATTATTAATACAGATGATATGAATTAAGAATCTGATTGTTTTAATTAAGGGAGTTAGAGTGGGTGGATTTTATAAAACTACTCACCGATCCAATGCTGAGTATGCAAATAAGCAGTCTTGACTTCAACAAGAAACGAGATCTTTATACATCCTGTGTTGTGAGTGGGAATAGCTAAGGGACTTAAAAGGCCAAGGGAGAGGGGGGCCACAGCATCTATTCCCAATTTGGATACAAGAGATTGCTGAATAACATGTGGTAGGCCAAAATCTGAGGGCACAGTCAGAAGATCTAAATCTACCGGCTTATTAACACTCATCACTAATAATTACATGGGCAGGATACCTGCTGAGGTAACTTGTAAAACCAACAATTTGCTCACTGTAAACCTCTTGCTTCTACTTAAAAACATTATTTCTTTGGATTAACTAAAAACCTCAAAAATTGTTACAACAAAAAGTGAGAATTAACTGACTTTAATATTACTTAAAATTCCTTTATATAAGACATAGAAGTCAGAAAGTACCTCGTTGATTCCAAAAAGAATAATTTCAACAAGAGATCCAATGCCTTATTATCTCTGTGGTAATGATTCGATGTTTCTATATAGATCATGACCTACAATCTAACCATACTCTGGGACACGTACATGCTTCACCTTGCAAAACAATTCCTTTACTCAGTGAATTAGCTGAGCCAAGTGCTTAAAAAAAAAAAAAAATTTAGGCCATCAGAACAGACTGAGGAACACTTTGCTTTTAGTGTTCTGATGGGAGATCGGAAATGAAGTATTGCAAATCTTTCCGAGTTTTTAAGTTAACATTTAACATCTCTGAGTCTAAAATACTTTTAATAAAGAAAGAGTATTAAACTGCCTTTAGGAATTGACGTTAAATGTTTGGTTTTTTTGAAGTATAAATTAATAAAAAAACATGAAGACATCTGAATATCAATTTAAGCTTTTATACTTTTTCTAATGGTTATATCAGATAGTGGCTGAACAAATCAGCTTAGGAACACACGGATCAGTGTAAAAGAAAAAAGCTTCCATGAAATCTAAACTTGCATTTAAGGGTAGTTTGTTGATAGCTATTTACTTAATAGTAAATCCTCAGTAGTATGAATTGTTCTTCTGTTAACAGAAACGGAGCCTATTAAATGTTGACAGTAAAGTGGCTTTTCAAAAACCAATCTTAAAAGAAAAAAAAAATTTCACCTAACATAGAAATATCTTTAAGGGAACACATTATTTTTTAAGGCCCCAAATATCAAGAAATAATTATTTACTTAAAATTTAGTTTCTCCCCCATTGGTAGAACCTATATAAAAGACTTAACTAAGAAACATGAAAAGGACTCAACTGAAGAACAAGTGTAAAATATTAGAAATCAATGGCTTGACAAAAGGAAGATATACTGCTACTCCTCACTTTCCCAAATGTGCCCTAGATATGTCTGATAAACTCAAATCATAAACGTTGTGGGAAAGAGGGAAATGCACATAAATAAAGCATTTTAAAACGATTCTCTCCCTCTTTTAAGAAAACTCTTCTTAGGTATCTGAAATGTGAGTAAAATGATAAAACAGTTCGATGTAAGTTTTAAAGCTGAACTTATAACAAAACTGAAAGAGAAGCTAAAAGAAAGTCACAGAATGAAGTCAACAGCAGTAATAAAATCAACACCACTTACATACACCATCAGAAGGCCTGATTAATATTCATGTTTACCCCCCATGCTTGTTAAGAAAAGAAAAACAACCCAAAGGAATTTGTATAATAATTTCTTTAGAGCACTTTATTTGATTCAATATGCACTAAAAAATATTTACCTCAGACAATTATGCCAAATAATTTTTACTGAGTAGTCTACTGTCTGAACTGCAGAAGCCAAAGTTTTAAAAAGGCAAATGATTTGCCACAAATCTGCTGACGTCTGAAAAATATCTAATGGCAAGTCTTCTATTTTGGTCACTTTTATTCTAAGGTGTCCATACAAAAGTAGGACTAAATTTTTAATCCAACAAAAGAGAAGCCTGTACACAGTCTAGAACACACATCTTGGATCTGAGCATCACAAATGAAGAGAAGAAAAATGAAACCAAGCCAAGGTGGTTTATCTGCCTCAGGGGCTGAACTCAGGGTAGTAAAGGTGGGTTTACTCCAGTAACCATTCAAGTGGGGATTGGCTCATTTTCAGGATTTACTTACAGGCCTCTTCTAAGTCCGTTAAGCCCCCAGTCCATGCAAATGTCCCACTTGGTGGACAGATGAGTAATCTAACCCCACCGGGTTTATTTCAATAGTTTGATATTTAATAATAAGCTGCTTCTGAAGATTTTCTGAGAAGTCTGTTCTCTATTAAAATAAGATAGAACCTCAAAATATGAATGTGAACATTAGAAATAGACAGCATATATTACAAATCCATTCTTGATAGGAACATTAGTAAGAATACACATTAGCTTAAAAAACAGGCTCAGCAAATGTTGCTGATCTGCCAGAAGTTTTAGTTCACTATTTACAAATAAGACAAAGTGAAATACAGAAAATTTTACACATTTGGTAGTTGACAGATTACTGTTTGCCAATAGTGGTCTATCAGAAAACTGATATGAAGGAAGACTGGATAAGAGCCAGTTGTCACCTTCTCAATCAAATTCAAATGTACAGAAAACTAGATTAATTTTAAAACAAACATTCTGCCTTTGATGGGAGTAACTGTATGATCAGATGGTCTGACTGGGAAGTGCAATTGTGTGGAAGTGTTTTCCTGGAAATGACTACTATAAGATCTGCTGCTGAAAAGTTACCGTATTTATTTCAGCAGACCATTAAAAGTGATTAAATGATGATCACTGATGTTTCCTAGACTCTAGGTATAAACAGAAAATAAAACTACTGTTGAGTTCTTTAAACCAATATAAAAACTAAGGCCCAACAGCATCAAAGTGAGAAAAAATGTCATGGCATGATTCAATGCACATCTGCAATGACATCAAAGTGGAATCTGAGCAACTCTGATTTTAGCTAGAAAACAAACCAGTATGTATGTGTGTGGAAGGGGAGACGTGAAAGTTGTTTTTAGTATCTGTGCACTCTTGTCCAAAGAAATAATTTATCAAGCGACATGACAAGTATGTACTTGTATGCCCAGCATCCTGCACCAATCAATACCACATGATCACCAACTGCCATTCTAAAGAACCATCCTCTTTAGTTACAGAAATCTTCACATCATTTCACTTTTGCTTTTTGTTTTTACTTTTAAAGTTGCAAACAGAGTTCTCTCCCCCTTTCTTGACAAGAAGTGACTTCTGTCCATTACTTCAATCTAATACTGTGTAAAAGCTATCAGCTTCTTCAAGGAGGTGCCCACTGTAGGCAGGATATTCCAGCAACACTTAAATAAAAGGTTTTCTTTTCTCTCTCTCTCTTTTTTTTTTTAAACAATTATTTAAGTTCATGTCACTTTACTTTATATGTACTGGTCTCTCATCTGACTTTAGGCGTTTCCTGCGGGGCTGTATAAAGTCTTCATCAGAGTCCTCAGTTACCTCACCATCATCCTCTTCCTGCTCAAACTCTGGCAAAGGTGCGAAGGTCCTGTCTGAGTAGATCTCTGTGAGTTTATCTTCAAAGTACAATGCAACTGCTTTCCCTGCCTGAGCTACTTCTGAATCAGCCTGCAAGCAAAAGATAGGAATATTCACCTGTTGGTAATGCATATTCCTTCACCAAGTTTGCATGGTCTGAAAAGCTTACCTTCAAATTAATCTCTTGTGTTTCTGCATAAACTTGAACAACTTTCATCATCTAAAAAGGATACCAGAGTCAAAAAAAAAAAAGGGAAATTATAATCCTTTCTAAAGTTATGAAACTGCATAGGATTGGCGACGAAAGTCAGCCATACTAGGGGGAACAAATTGCTATAACCAGATTAAGTGCTTTCCCAAATTCTATAGAACATGGAACCACTTTCTTTACAAAGTTCTGTTACTAAACCTACTGTGAAACCTCAAGAATGCTTTCAAATTCTGAATTAGTAAAGTCAATCGGAAATGGCGGTTGACTGAATACATCAATCTCACGAAGACAAAAAAACTAATTATATAAGAAATGTTGCTTTTTAAAAACTGCCAAACCATCAACAAACCACTTAGAATTCTATCTGTATGGCAATTTGTTAACCATAAATTATTTAATCATTGCTAAAGCAGATAAAAAGTGTCTTCTTCCTTGCAGATGTTAGCTACAATTCATAAAAGCACATTTATTTGAAAATAATCTAACTGGATTAGAAAGTAAGACAAAAAGTGGAACTATATCAATTTTAAGTTCAAGTGAGTAAGGTTTTACTATACTTTCTGTGGTATACTGCTACACTATACTTTTAACCTTAAGGATTTTTTTTCCCAAATATTGAAAAGATCATCTAGATGCTTCCAGAGGTAGCTATGAGTGTATGTTAAATGATGTCCTTTTACTAATAGTCATATGGCACCAAATTTCACCAGTAATAAAGATATTTTACTACTGAGGTTTCTAAAGATTTTGTAGATTCTTATCTAATTCCATTTTCTTCTCATAGAATAATGAAAATCTTCTCTAACAGTAAGAGACTTGCCTTTTCTCAAAGAAAACAAAACAATTTCCTTGAAGAAGTGAGTCATATAGCATATTTTTCCTCAAGGAGAGCCCATTCTTATCCTCAAAAAAAAATACACAACCGAAGTTAATAAAAGTCGTATTGCTGAGATTAGAAAACTCAACATTATATACTCTATATACTCTGGGCTACTATTCAAGATGAGCCACCAGAAATTAGTTTATGATTTCAGGGTTCTGCATTTAATAGGTTAACATTATTAACCTACATTAATAATAAAATCAAAGGAACCAGTACAAGTGCCTTTCCTAAATGAACCCCAAATATAGACTACTTAATAGTCATTTTCCATATACTTAACTACAGCCTACTCTCTATACTTGTATATGTCAACCCTCAACTTCAAAAAGGCATATCCATTATACTTCCAATTATACACAGTAAACTTTCTTCATTAGAACTGTGGATGCAATCAAATTTTACTTTTGACACAACTGCAGGAGAAAAAGAATTTTCAATCAAATTAGGAAAATCTCTTAGCAGGAAAAATATAATAAAAAAATAAACAAGCAAAAACCAAAAACTAATAATCCAAGACTTTATAGTTTGGAAGCTAACATACTTCATTAAACCTTTCACAGTTCTTGAAGATCAAACGGACATCAGCCACAAAGTCATCTGGGACTTGGTAGTGTTGGGAATGTTTTTTCTGAAGCTTCTTTTTCACGGTGGATAAATCCATTGGTTTCTTTATAATTTTATAGTAGTTTGGTATCTAAAGAAACAAATAAATAAGAATAGCTAAGGATTCTCCAAAAATGCCAAACTGTTTTATTTGAAAATGTACAGCATATATTAATTACTGAGCCAGCTACTTGCAAATTTTAGGTATAGTGAAGGTATTTTAAATCTTATGCCCCAATCATATATCATAGAAACCAAATCATATTCAGAATCTGTGGCAGTCTTAATGGTTATGAAGGCCTCAAAGCTCTATCTGTGATAAGGAGATTTGGAAAGAACGCAATCAGCAAGGCTAGCCAACATTAGTGTTAAGGACACATCTGGCTCATCAGAATATTATGACACCTGAAGAGTTTTTTTTTTTTTTAAAGAAAAGAAAATATAAAAACAAAATTTATTATCATTAGAATGTTGTCTTTTAGAGGCTGTAACTTTATACCACAAAGAACTCTAGACATAAAACAACAGAGGGAGAAAGAGGTTAAGTAACACAAGAAAAATTTTATTAACCCTTTAATGATCATGCCAGACAGATTCTGGCCCCAACTTTTAGCCAAAAAGTTGTATTCTTGAGAAACAACTGAACTTGGAGAAGCTATTTAAACAGTTCACAAAAACAAATATTCAAAAGTTATTTTCTACTGTAAAATGCCTATACTTGAAGACAAACTTCCTAGTATCAGATGGTTACTATTTGTACAAAACATATTCCTGTGTCTAGGGCTTTTGTGTTTTAAAATTCATTTCTGAGCCTACCCAGTAAACAAGTCTACTATTTAATATTTACAGGCCTGGCATTCAACAATGTCTTAATTCAACAAATGATGGTGAGCAAATGTATATAGCATATTCTCATTCCATTTATGAAGCCTGAGCACCCATGATACTCCTTTTCCTATGGGACTTTAGAGCTTTTATTCCTAACAAAAGTCTCCTTTAAGATAAACAAAGAGCACTGACTTGCAAAATTTCCAGTCCTTTCTTAATCTTGACTATTCCTAAAGAGGGCTTATCTTCATAAGATAAGAGCCAGTGTGAAAGCTTCAATTTTACATTTTTATTCAAATTAATACTTACATAGAGATTGTTTTCTTCCCAAGGTACAGAGCCTAGAATCATAGAACTGGAATTTTAGAAATATTTCAGTCCAGTACTCCCACTGTATGTTTAAAAAGGTAAAGGCAGAAAATTAAGAAATTTGCCCAAAGTTTTACGGCTAGTTAATGGCAGAACTGGGAGAAGTTAAGTATTCTGACTCTTAGTCCAAGATTCTTTCCATTACACCTATATCCCTTATGTCCATTTTAAAAGTGAAAGAGAACACAGAAGTTAAATTCATTAGTTTTTCATGACAGCAACAAAACCTTTAAAAAACAAAATGCAATTTTTGACAAGTGAATCACACATCCATTAAGAGCCCTAATAAAATTTTGGATTAATAAATACTTACAACATTATCAGGTACTGATAATTACAGCAGGTATTATGCTAAAATATTCTATAAAAGTATCCTATGTGTTCTTGGAATATCCAAAATGGGGTAAGAAATAGCATTAGAGAAGGAAACTTGAACCTTGGAGAGGCTGAGATTATGCAAGAAGACTGAGATGAGAAGTCTTAAGACCAGAGCCAATATTCTCAAGTCTTATACCAACCTTCTTCACTAGAGAGGTCATAAAGTGAACAACTCACCGAAGCAGGAACCGGCTCCTGGAATTCAATACTTAATTCATGGCAATAGAGGTAAAGCAGAAGTCGTTCACATTTCTGGACCAAAACAAAGAAAGGAAAACACATGAAATGTTTATTCCCCTAATAAGATATTCTTAAGAGAACTTCCATCACTACAAAGCCTTATTACAATAAACTCAACATATGCCTCCTATATACTGACTTATCTAAATACAAAGAAAACCATCTGTTTCCCTTGCTTTCCATTTGGGTTTTTTTTTTTTTTTTAAATTTTATTTATTTATTTGACAGAGAGAGATCACAAGTAGGCAGAGAGAGGAAGGGAAGCAGGCTCCCTGCTGAGCAGAAAGCCTGATATGGGGCTTGATCCCAGGATCCTGGGATCATGACCTGAGTGGAAGGCAGAGGCTTTAACCCACTGAGTCACCCAGGCACCCCTCCCATTTAGTTTTGAGACTACCTTCTGTTCTACTTTTAGAGAATTTATTGAAAACAGAGGGTGGCTTTTATTCTTAGACGATGACTAAGGTAATTTATCTACTACTGACTATTTACAGAGACGGAAAGGAGTCATAAAAGCAACATAGCATTCTGCATAAAAATTCATAGATTACTAGGTTATCCTCTAAATCCTAGTAATTAGGATTACCTAGTAAACCCCCCCCCTTTTTTTTTTAAGATTTTATTTACCGGGGCACCTGGGTGGCTCAGTGGGTTAAAGCCTCTGCTTTCAGCTCAGGTCATGATCCCAGGGTCCTGGGATCGAGCCCCACATCGGGCTCTCTGCTCTGCGGAGAGCCTGCTTCCTCCTCTCTCTCTCTGCCTGCCTCTCTTGCCTACTTGTGACCGCTGTCTGTCAAATAAATAAATTAAAAAAAAAAAAAAAAGATTTTATTTACCTATTTGACATAGAAACAATGAGAGAGGGAACACAAGCAGGAGGAATGGGAGAGGGAGAAGCAGGTCTCAAGCTGAGCAGAGAGCCTGATGCAGGTCTCGATTCCAGGACCCTGAAATCATGACCTGAGCTGAAGGCAGATGCTTAACAAGTGAGCCACCCAGGCACCCCAGGATTACCTCGTTATCTATAGTAATCTTTAAATTACTGCTTTTGCTATTTTCTGATGCAAGAAGGACACATATTATTCTTTCTTTTCCTGAAATGACTCCATGCAGGTCTAAAATTAAATACAAACTATGTCTTCTCAATACAATTCCAGAATTTTTTATACGGTTGAAAGTAAACTGAAATGCATTTTACATTTATAGTTTTCATTTGCTTAAACTTGTTTTAATACAAGTTAAAGGGGGGATGTTAGAGGGGGATTCCGTGAGTACATACCCCAGATCAGAGCCAAACATAACTGTAATGACCAGAGAGATTTTGTTTTTGGAGAAGAGACTATAGACCACATCAGCAGAAATCTGAGCGAAATGAGGAAAGGATTCTGGATTTCATTTTTAATGACAGAAAGCTATTACAGGAAGTGACAGACTTGTTTGTATTTTTTTTAAAAATACTATGTAGGAGCGCCTGGGTGGCTCAGTCAGATGGGTGTCCCACTCTTGATTTTGGCTGAGGACGTGGTCTCAGGGTTGTGGGATCAAGCTCTGGGTTGGGCTCTGCATGGAGTCTGCTTCAGATTCTCTCTCCCCCTCTTCTTCTGCCCTTCCCCCCATTGTGCTCTCTAAAATCTTACCAAAAAAAAAAAAAAAAAAAAAAAAGAATACTACATACAGTACAGAAAACTACAGTATAAAGAGTCAAGAGTAAACTCAGGGAGTCTGAGTGAAGTTTATTATGACAGTGCAGATGAACCACCATGATGGCTATCTCAGAAGGTGATGGTGAGGACAAGTAAGAAAATTGTATTATGGTCATTCCTTATCTTTCACTAGATTTCTGGCTTGTGCAACAGAAATAAATGGTGGTACCATTTAATGATGGGAAATACCGGAGAAGAGTGCAGTTTTTACATTGTTATTTGCTTGTTTATTATTTATGTTTTTTTGAAATCTTGCTTTTGGTTGGGACATGTTAAGTATGAGGAAGCTGGATGTAAAGTCTCCAGTGTATAGCCAGACAACTACAGAATCCCTAATAATAAATCCAACTTATATGACACTTACCCTTTGGTCCACGGGGCTTAACCCTTGTGCAGTTTTCCCCTTCTTACTATGTTGCAAATTATCACAATCATATTCAACTTCTGGTTTCCCAATATCTCTGCAAAATGTGCATATCCAGTCCCCACTAAAGAGAGAAACAGGCAATTAGTCCCTGTAATTATAGCAAAACCCATGCTAGAGAAGCTAGTTCTTTGGAAGTAAGTCTCCAGTTTGTTTTCTTTCCTTCCACGGTTTTTGAGGGGAAGAAAGGCTCCATTCTTGTCAAATCTCAAAGTTGTCTGATAAAAGCTTCCCAAAACTTTTCCCAGTCTTCAATTAATTACTTTCTAGAATGCTTTATAAAACTGTAGCCCTGCATTTCAAAAGCAATCTCTTCATAACACCAAGTTGAGGGTTAGTACTTACAGCATAAGACTGATTGTCAACCCCATTACTATCTCACAATAACCCCACACTCACAAAAAAGTAAAAAGAGTACGGGTTATGGAACTCCTCAGGTATCCCATACTGGTATGGCATGTATTAAATATGCCAAAAATAAAACAATTCTTCTTCATGACCAGTCAAAAGCCAAGAATACACATCTCCATAAGTACAAAACATGTACATATACCCCTTACCTTTTAAATTTGCTCAGTCTACAGTTTGTTTACATCAGGATTTCCATCAAACCATAAATTCTAAAATGTTTCATTCCCAGTAATTCTTCCCTTCTCTCCCCCACCATAAAGAAACTCTAAGTCTTGAGACCATCCTAGTCTTTTCCAAGTGTTCCAATTCCTTCCAAAGTATCAGCCTTTGAGAGGAAGCATTCACTGGCAAAATTCTAACATTCCAGCAGATGTTACTACCCAAAGGGAAGAAAAATATGAAAAACCTTAATTACAACATTAAAATGTCAATGCTTTTTTCTATAAAAGAGTAAAATAAAAGAAGGCCCTTGTTACATCTCTGGCAAATGACTGTACCTCTCTTAAGACCTAGGTAAGAGTTATGATTCTTCAGAAAAATATTCTGGCACTGTTTATATAGCCAGTATTTTTCTAATCCAAAAGGTTAAATTATTCAAAATGGATAGCATTTACTCAACTAAAATCACTGCTTCTCAGGAATCTGAGAGGAAATGTGAATGTTTTATCTACAGGCAGAAAAAAGTTGGGCTTTCCCAAGAACACTATTTATTGTCACTTAAAAGGGTTATTTGGGGGTAAGGGTTTGGGAAGAGGGAAACTGGTCTACAAAATCAACTGGAGACAAAATGTGTGAACACAACTTGTTAAATGAGAAATGTGCACAGAGTGCCCCAGGCTGGCACTACCAATTAACTGCTTCCAGGGGTCAAAAGGAAGCAATACCTAAAAATATTCAAGCTGTGAAAAGCTTTTTTACAAAGTACTTTTTCCTTTGAAATGCCTTTCAAGAGCTTTCAAACTTCAGAATAATGGGTTCTAGGTGAGAAACAACAGAACTGCCTCCCACCGAATAGTATTCTTAAGTGAAATTATTGTAGACCCTATTAAGATTGATGGCAATAGATAAAAAATTCAGTTTCAATAGGAAATTGACTAACTTCTCCAACACCCCAGACCTCTCTCATAATTTAGAGTTTTATCTACTTTGCTTATACTAAGTATAAACTGAAGGCCAGGAAACAGTCTACTTTTTATCATTCATACACTACTTAAATCTTGAACGTTTCACCATTCAGCTATCAGTTTCTCTAGAAGGTACTATGAAAGGAATAACAGGCTCCCTGTTTTACAGAAACAGTATGCGTTGGTTAGGAAGGCCATCTGCAGGGACAACTTTGTTTATATTTTAGCCTATAAAAATAAACAAGAACAAAAAAATCAACTATTTCACTGGTACCTTGGAAAGCTAAGAAGTGTTGGAACATGACAAGTTAGATGAAAGACCTTTGGACATTTTTCACAGCACAAGAGATCCCCTCCATTTTGGCAGACAGCACACCAGTCTTCATTTGGATCATCATCTTTGCTACTGCCATCTCCTCCAATTCTTGACGACCTGTGTATGAGGCTTCGAATCGGGGACTTTCCATTAACAAGGCTGCTGAGCCCTGACTGTTTGCAGCTTTCATTTGTATCTGCAGGTTCAGTTTTCACATGGTTTTCCAGGCTTGCTAATGCATCCAACTCACTCTCTAGATGCAGGTTGGTTGAAAGAGGTGGTGTCAAGCTACTCTCAGGACTGCTCAACTAAAACAAAACGAGGACAAATTCTTAAACAATCATTTAATCCTTAGTGTATGCAGTGTACGTGTAACTTAAGAATTATGTCAATACACAGATATATAACTTAAAATTAATTTGGAAATTACATTAGTGACAGAAAGGAAAGAAAATAAACCCAAAATTATTAGGCATGTTAATTTATGATTTTATAGCACACTCTAATATTGGTTCATTTGGATAATAAGAAAATTAATCAAACTGTTAAACACACTGATTGTTAAGTGAGCATAGGGTTATACTTTTCCTACAAAGAGCTGATTATGATACCCTATTTTTCACCCAAGAGTCTGTTGCATAGCTTTTAAGAAATGTTATTCTGCCTACTTATCATCATTTTACTAAAGTAAGAAGATTGTGAAAATGGTAAAGAAATCTTTCACCACCCTTCTGCACCCAGTTTTCTGTGGGCACTTTCTAAATCGGATACTGGATGATGGGACACTACTCCAAATACAAGGCTAAATCCCTTTACTCTCAAGTGTACATATATTGTGCTAAATATGCTAATACTCCAACCTGAAATGTCTCTATGCTAACCAAGTAGAAAATGACACCTAAGCCTGGGCAGGAAGAAAAAAAAACAAGATCAAAATTTACTGCTGGGGAGTGGGGGGTGTCAGCACAGGAGGAGGAAGAGAAGGAGGCCTTCCTTCATTCTATATTATAAATTTTATAAAATGTTCTACCTGAAAAACTCTTAAATGGTTAATAATTCATAAGCCAAAGGCAATCTTCCCATCACACAACTCTTTGATCATTAAACTTCTTTCACGTCAACAGTCCTAATCCTGAACTCACAGATCCAGGAAAATAGTAAAGGATCTTTTGTGGCCTGAGACTCAATGTGACTGTTGAGATGACTAATGAAGTCAAAACAAAATAGAACCCAATTTAGAATCATGGCAAAAATACTGACCAATAACAAACTAAAAGATCATTTCAAATGAATCCTTAATACAATTAAACCTTTTGTGACAAATTACAGCTGACACTTAGAAGAAAAACTTGAATTACAGAGATATTTGGATTATACCAGGCATAAATATCCAGAAATAATTAAGTGTCCGTAGAACCACTATTCAGTCTAACACGCAGAGAAGGAAGAATCCATGAAATGGCCTCCTTGAATCCCTGACAGGCCCCAGTGGGAGCTTACCATGCAGGCACTCCTCCTGCCGTCCTCTGTCTTTTCTTGTTTCACAGCTCCTGAAAAGCTACATACTTCATCTTCAGTCCCAGGTTCTTGCTTGACCTTCACTTGATCAGACTTGAAACTAAGACCTGTCTTCTCAGCAGTTCTTCCTGATGACCCACAGCTAATAAAAAACAATTTAAAAAGTCAAATGTGCTTGTATAATATACATAAAATCAATTATATGAAAACTAATATTCATTAAAGTGAAAAGAACTAACTTTCTAGAAGATAGACACCTTATAATGCAGGTAAAAGAAGTGTGATATAAGCATAGCTTCAGATTCTTTAAAAACGTGTATCAAACTTTCAGAAGAACCTAAAAACATTTTTATGCTGTGAGGCACTTATACTAAGTCATTAAAGAAATCCAGTAAATAACCATTTTCCCAGACTAGTTAATATAGAATGTTAGCAATTGCTTTTCTCTATAAAAGTAATTTCGATTCTTCTCTGCCCCCAACTAATGAAGAAAACAGCATTAATAATAGTAGTTCATGAAGCCTCCTCAAAGTAAACTCTATTTTAGCTTTTGAGGACAGGAAATTGGGAGAAGAGAATAACAAGTAGTCAACAACCCAGAATATCCTTATTTGAATCAACAAAATGATAGGTTAAGAGGACAGGTCTATGACTCATCAGTTCTATCTAGACCACAAAGCAAAACCACTACCGAGAGAAGTGAGTAACTGGTAAGACTGCAGTGCTACTGAGAATGAACACCTTTTTCACTCAATTACTCAAGTACTCAAAGTACTTTTCAAAGTACTGATTATTTATTTAAGGTATAATTAAAAAGTCAAGCAAGTATTTAATAGCACTAGTCTTCAAAATGCACACAAACCCAAATTTAAAAAAAACAAAAACCATGTAGCTTATATCTTTCCTGCATCGTACTAAGTTATTCAAACTAAAGTATAAAAATCAGGCAACATTTACACATTTATTCTATCTTATGTTAATACACTCCAAATACCATCCCATTTCTTAGCTATGTCCACCAAAAAGGCATAACAAAAAAATCAGCAGCAGCTAGTGTCCCTAGTGCCCAGAAGACTGTCTCTAAGCACTATTTCCTCACTAATACAACCAAGATTTCTTAGAAAAATGGTGGGCTCTAGGCCTGAGGCAGGAAATATGTTAAGACAAACCTGGAACATCATTTCAGAACAAGAAATAAGGAAGCTTTCAAAGACTACTGGGGTTATACCAAAGGCCTAGGAAGCCAAACTGAAAAAGCTCTGATAGGCCAAAGACTGAACAATATAACCCTTCAATAAAAATAACATCTTTAATAGTTAGTAATATATAAAATGTTTAAATATATGAGTTCATGAGATAATAAAAACTCACTGGTTGGAAGGTGCTGGGAATCAACTATTATGCAAACAGAAATAAAGAGAAAGAATCTCTTCTGCCTGTCCTATAACCAAATAGCCGGTGACAGAAAAGTTTCTCTTTCTAGAGATATTCTAAACTGGTACACAAAAAGAAATAACACAATAATTAAAATAACACTATTTTTCAACTAGTTAAAAAAAAAAAAAAAAAAGAGCTAGGCAAAAATCAACTAACGGTGGCTGTCACAAACAAAAACCGCCAAATGTTAGATGTCCCTGATGGACGTACATGCCACCATCAATGAAGTATTCTTCTTGCCTCAACTTCCCCCTGATCAAAATTATCAACACTGAGGAAAAAAATAGCATATACTCTATTTAAATGACAAGCTGGGGAAAACTCTGTATGGGAAACAATATATTTCTTCAACATATAAATAGATTTTGATGTCAATATATCTGCAGATGGCAATGGTTCAAAATAATCCAGACCAGGGAGGAATGTATGGGAACACAGAAGAGGTAAAACTGGCTATAACTTGGTAATTGTTGAAGCCAGGTGATAAGCATAAGAGTTCAATGCAATTTTCTACTTTTTAAAATACATATTCAAAATTTTTCTTAAGGGGGAAAAAAAATTACTAATAATGTTAATACTCACCTGCCTCGACTGCCAGTACTAGAGGTACTAGGGGGTCTCACAGGTGTGTGAGAATTGGATAAACCTAGAAAATAATACATCAAAATGAGTATCAATGCAGATAAGAATATTCAGAATTCCACCTAGTATTTATAGAATTAAAGATGACTATAATGCAATTTAGCAATTCTTATAAATCAGACCTAGCCTTAGTGTCAAAATCAGGGATGGCATGTATAACCCTTGGCAGGGCAGGCATCAACCAGTTTCTGTCACCTGAGCCCAGACAGGATTCTCAGAATCCTCCTCAGAGCAACAATATCCAATCAATGAGAACTACCAGGTCAAGAGAAAGCTATTTGCCATCTTGCCATAAGCCATCTGGTAAATCTCCTACTTAGAGTCCCAGTAATTATTCATTCTTTTAGAAGCCCTGGATTAATTATATTAAACTTTAAAAATTCTACAACTAAAAATCATATTAATGGTGCATCTCATGAAAGACTGACATCTAAATTTGAACTATTTTTACTCAAGAAATAATAAGGTGGTCTGTTTCAGTAAGAAGTAAGTTACATTTAATTTAAACCAAAAAAATAAACTCCATAACCACTTCTGCACTGTCAATCTGTTCAGAGTTGCTTTAATCATTCATTCATAACTGGGTCAACAAAACAACCAGGTTTTGGAAGAGATTTATATCTCATAGAGTTGATTAATCACAACTTTAATAGTTTCCAGTAAATTTAAGTTTTTGTTTTAAAATCACAATTTGAAAATTTACTTGTCTTTCCTCAACTTTTTAATTTTTTCACTATCTTATAAATCATAAACATGGGATGAAACCAAAGAACTCTTCAACTGACCATCTGTATCGTAAAATACAAGCAAATGCATCTACATACCTAGCAAAGAATTTGAAAACAGCTGGGGGTTGAGGGAGGGGTAATTAATAACTCTGAACAGTGTATACTACAGATACATATATTACTTCAGTTAGCTGAAAACAGTCAACCGTATTTGAAGAAATATAGTTAGAAAGAGCCATCAAAAAAAAAAGTATGATTTGATACTATGATGGTCAATTTTATATATCAATTTGGCTAGAATATAGCTACCTGGTTGTTTGTCCAAACACCAATCTAGATGTTGCTGTGAAGGTATCTTTAGATGTGATTAACATTTTAATCACTTGAGTTTCTGCCTAAACCAATTAAGCTCCACAGTGTGGGTGGATCTCATCCAATCAGGTGAAGACCTTAAGAGAAAGGACTGAGGTCCCCAGAAGAAGAAATTCTGCCTCCAGACTCAAGCTTATAACATTTACTTTGTCCTGGGTCTCCAGCCTGTTAACCTGCCCTATAGCTTGCCAGTCCTAACAATCATGTAAGCCAATTCCTTAAAATCTCTCTATACACACACACACCCCTCCTATTGGTTCTGTTTTTCTGGAGAACCTAATACGTATACAGTTGACCCTTAAGCAATGTGAGAGTTAGGGGCATTGACCTACCCCCCAATTGTGCAAAAATCACATATAACTTTTGACTCCCTAAAAACTTTACTGATAAGCCTACTGTTGACCAGAAGCCTTAGGATAATATAAACAGTCAATTAACACATATTTTGCATGGTACGTATATTACATTTTCTGTATTCTTACAGTAAAGTAAGCCAAAGAAAATGTTATTAAAAAAACATAAGGAAGAGAAAATACACTTACAGTACTACATTCTCTGAAAAGAATCTACGATATGTGGACCTGTGCAGTTCAAACCCGTGTTGTTCAAGGGTCAGCTGTAACAAAAGAAACAAGCCAGTGCCTTTGATGGCTTTACCTGATGATCCTGGAGATAGGGCAGAGGGTCCTGGGGAGGGATTCATGGTGCTTGTAGGCTGTGGGGGTAGATGACTGCCTGAGATGTATCTACTTAGTAGATTATCTAAACTACTTGAACCAGCATCTTCCAACTAAAAAGAAAGAATGAAATGATAAATTTGCTTTGATTAAAGCAGAGGAGAAGTTATTAATTTTCATTAGTATAACTGCTTATGTTCAAAGTTACTAACAAACAGATCATTTGATCAAACTTGGCTTACTTGTTGCTTCCTTAGCCTCTCCTGAGGACGCACATAGTTTAAAGTTTTTGTGAACAAAGTTATAATTAATACTTTTTAGCAAATACCTGGGGCAGTTCAAGACAAAACCTAACAATTCACTAAATCCTTCATGCTCTACTATGAAAATAAAATCGCTTTGACACACTGACTCTTGCTTTTTCTCAATGAAGAACCCTATCTATCAGCATCCTCCTCCATCTGGTCTTCCTCTCTCTTTCAGCATTCACAGTCCTGCCAGAATCACCACCTGAACAGAAATTTAATCACGTCAGTGCCTAACTTGAAAGCTCTGAAAAGATTTTAGACTCGGGGCGCCTGGGTGGCACAGTGGGCTGAGCCTCTGCCGTCAGCTCAGGTCATGATTTCAGGGTCCTGGGATCAAGCCCCGCAATGGGCTCTCTGCTCAGCAGGGAGCCTGCTCCCCTTCTTCTCTGCCTGCCTCCCTGCCTGCTTGTGATCTGTCAAATAAATAAATAAAATCTTTTAAAAAATAAAAAATAAAAAACAAAAAGATTTTAGATTCAAAATAAGGCCCTCAGCCTGGGATATAATGCCCCTTATAACCTGGGGCAGCCCACAGAAGAACTGAGCCGTTTTCTCACTTACAGGCAAAGTGGTAGGTTAAAGCCAGAGGATCAAGCATCCTAAACATCAGTTTCCTCTCTTTAAAACCTCCCACTACACTGAAGAACTGTAATGACGAAATAGGAAATATTTATGTAAGAAACAGTAAATACTATTTAATTGTGAAAATTACCTTAGGAAAAATTACACTACCTACTACTTACACTACTCTGTAAGAGATGGTCAAACTACTCCTAAATAATGCCAATCTTGAATATGGTCTAACTTGTGCCCATACTTGCCGCTTTTAAGCTTCTCTCCCACTAGAAGCAGATTACCTTTTATACAAATCTACTACTTGTTCAAGACAGAAAACTGAACACACACATTTACTTCTTGCTCTCCTTTCCTCTCAAAATTACACTGATTTCATGGTTATAAAAACAGGAAAGGATGCCGTCAAAGTGGAAACTTTGAAGAAAATTATAGAAATATAGCAAGGTAGAACTGGATTGATAGAAAAATGATCAAAGCAGGTCACAATATATCACAGGCAAGGGAGGAGGACTCTGAAAAGTAAATAAGCCTTTCTCATTAAAGCCCTTAAAAACCCTCATGTCAGAAACATAAAGGGCTGAAGGTGATAGCAGGCAGTGGGCTCATTGGGAGGCAATTAAGGAATATCAGGAGTTGTGCCTATCTGGTGATCACAGCTGTTGGCCAAGAATTCACTTGTAAGCTGTAACTATAGGAGAATTCCTAGCTGCAACTAATCAAGTGGGGTTTCTAAAGAGGGGGAGCGCCTAATATGGGCCACAGCTGGAAGCTGTACAATGTCACACCTGAACACAAAGGAGGAGGGGATGATTTAAAACAGACATGAGGGGCACCTGGGTTGAGCCTCTGCCTTCAGCTCAGGTCATGGTCTCAGGGTCCTGGGATTAAGCCCCGCATCAGGCTCTCTGACTGCTTCCCCCTCTCTCTCTGCCTGCCTCTCTCCCTACTTGTGATCTCTCTCTCTCTGTCAAATAAATAAATAAAATCTTAAAAAAAAAAGACATGAAAATCCCAGGTTACCTAGAACTCTACCACCAGTCCTAAACTTTACCTGCAATTTGTATCTCTGGCCAGATAGATAGGCCTAAGGCTAGAAGAGTGGACAGATTCTGAAGAGGCAAACTGGAAGTACATAAAAGGGCCCCCATGACATCACTACAGCCCCCAATAAGGAAATGCTAGCTGACGCATTCACTCCCAGGCTTCGCTAGACATGGGTGAAGAGTCAGCATTAATAAAGTTATAAGTCTAACTGGAACAAAAAAGTCTAACTGGAAAAACATTAATTCACTTATTAATTCAATGTTCTTTGAACATGTGTTATATAACTAACTTCTATAAATTAAAAGGAAAAAGACAATCCAGAGAAGAAATACAAATCATCAGTGAACCTAAGAAAAGGCAACCATGCATACAAATAAAAGAAATGTAATCAAAAGAAATCAAGAACATTGTTTTACCTATCAGATTGGTAAAGATGGGGAGAAAAGACTGATTCATTTAGTTAGTACTAAGAGCACAGTGCAGAAATGGGTACCCCATAACATTTAAGTTTACATATGAATATCAGAAATACATAGTTTCCCCAAAACTTCATAATATCCAATACAGTATCCAGATAAATAGTTACTACGTATGCCAAATACAAAAAATTCTTTATAAAGAATAAACCATTAGAGGGGTGCCTGGGTGGCTCAGTGCGTTAAGCCTCTGCTTTCAGCTCAGATCATGATCCCAGGGTCCTGGGATCGAGCCCCGAATCGGGCTCTCTGCTCAGCAGGGAGCCTGCTTCCCCCTCTCTCTGCTTACTGCTCTGCCTGCTTGTGATTTCTCTCTATCAAATAAATAAATAAAATCTTTTAAAAAAAAAAAGAATAAACCATTAGAATAAATATCTATCGGGGAACCTGGGTGGCTCAGTCAGTTAAGCATCCAACTCTTGATTGCGCCAAGGGTCATGATCTCAGGGTCCTGGAATTGAGCCCTCTGTCAGGCTCTGCGCTTAGTTTGGAGTCTGCTTAAGATTTTCTCTCCCTTTCCCTCTGCTCCCTCCAACCCACTCACACACACTTTCTCTCAATACAATCTTTTAAAAAAAGAACATTACATCTATTAATATAATCTAATCTGAACAGAATCTAATATTCATTTATGAATTCAAAAAGTATTTGGGTTCATCATCTATCACCTCAAGGTATAAATTACAAACATTCATTATCACTATGCTGGAAATGGACAGTAGAGCAAAATAAAATACAATTTACTTTGAGAGAATTCTATTTAGATCACCTTCTAATCCTGGATGGCTGTCATGACTACTATATTAAGATAAATCAACAAATATCCAAAACTGCCTTTGAATTTACTTCTGAGTTGCATTACATAGTTAATGCTACCTTGTCTACTTCCTGTGTAGCCTCCACAAGGTTTCTTCTTACTACACCATGGCAATTACGAGAGAAAGTAAGTGATTCTTAAAGAGAGGACAGGTTTCTTTCCCTTTCTGTTCTTGGTTCGTTTGGTTAACTACTTCCTACTACAGCTGTGCTTTCATGGTAACCACCTCTAGTTTTAAAAGTACCTGACAGTAACAGGTGTTGGCAAGAATGTGTAGAAACTGAAATCCTCACACACTGTTGGTGGGAACGTAAAATGGTGCATCTGCTGTGGAAAAGTCTGGCAGTTCCTCAAAAACTTATACAATATATGACACAGTAATTTCACTCCTAGAAATTTACCACAGAGAACCAATAACCTGTGTTCATACAAAAACTTGTATAAGTAAGTTCATAGCATTATTCCTTACCAGTCAAAAAGTGGAAACCCAAATGTCCACAACTGATAAGCCCATGAACAAATGCGGCATATCCATACAATGGAATATTCAGACATAAAAAGGAATTAAGTACTGATGCAGGCTACAACAAGGATGGGCCTACAAAACACTGCGAAGTGAAAGAAGCCAGGCACAAAAGGCCATATATTATATAATTCCGCACATGCAAAATGTCTAGAAGAGGCAAAACCATAGAAACATAAAGTAAATTAATGGTTTCCGGAGATTGGGAAAGAGGGAAATGTGATTGCTAACGGATAGTCTTTTGGGGTAATAAAAATGTTATAGAAATAGTGGTAATGGTTCACAATCTTGTACATATACTAAAAATGTTGAATTGTATATTTTTAAAAATTGGACTTTCTGGTATCTGAATTATATCTCAACTTTTAAAAGTAGGTGATGGGGCACCTGGGTGGCTCAGTGGGTTAAGCCTCTGCCTTCAGCTCAGGTCATGGTCTTGGAGTCCTGGGATCGAGCACTGCATCGGGCTCTCTGCTCAGAGGGGAGACTGCTTCCCCCACTACCTCTCTGCCTACTTGTGATCTCTCTGTCAAATAAAATAAAATCTTTAATAAAAAAAAAGTAGGTGATAAAAAGGAAAGTCTGATTATAATGCCCAGCTTTTCAAAGATATGTAGCATCTATATTTCCTCCATCTGGTCTCTGTCAGAAAACACCAAACCAAGGTCAAAACAGCCTAGCAAATTATGTTAAATAAGACATTAGCAAACTTCTTTTCCTTTTGGAAGTTTCTTAAGACCTGGAACCAAGTTTTATTTATCTTCTTATTCTCAATCACCAAGGACTTTAGCATATATTAAGTATTTAGCAAAACTTGAATGATTCTTTTAACACTATACACACCTCTCTATAGTTGCCCAAAACCTCTCAATACTAAACCTTTCCAGGCCTACAATCCTGAACTATCTCCCTACTATCTCTATGGATAGTGGGGAGAAAACCAAACTTGTAATCAGGAGTCTGAGCTTTGAATTCCAACTTTTCCATGTAGTGGGTGACCAGTCACTAACTTTTCTTACTCTCATCCATAAGATAGGGGTATCACATTACCACAAGATGATTTTACATAAAAAACTGATATACTGCCTGTGAAAATGCTTTGTAAGCTGTAAGCTTATGACTTAGAAATTTTACTTGAGGGGTGCCTGGGTGGCTCAGTCAGTTAAGCATCTGACTCTTGATTTCAGATCAGGTCATGATCCCAGGGTTGTAGGATGGAGCCCTGCTTCAGTTTCCATGCTCAGCAAGGAGTCTGTCTGAGATGCTTTTCCCTCTGCCCCTCCCCCTGCTCGTGCGTACACTCTCTCTCTCAAATAAATAAATCTTAAAAATAGAAATTCCACTTTTTATAGATATATTCTCAAATTTCCCATTCTATATTGTCCAGTCCTTTCAGCACCAATACAACTTCCATTCACTCAGCCAAAAAAGAGGTCTCCTAATATTAGGGAAACAGTAAGATTTAAAGAATTCACAATGAGCTAGTGATTTTGAAGCAATTTTGAAGTTAAAGAAACATCCTTTAAAACTAACTCTTATAAAATCCATTAAATACATAAAAATATTAAAATGCAATCAAGGGCCCCAGTGTCTTATTAATTTCACTGCTCCCTGCTCCCCTGGTGACCCTTGCTTGACTCTGAATAACTCATACAATGCATGTGAGGACGACTCAGTATAACTTCAAAGACTATACTTAAATTTATAAACAAAGTGCTGTTTCTCAAGTCATTGCCTTGGCTTGATGCGAACAAGCAGTCTGGTGTGCCTACTCCTAGTGCCTTAGTGCTTCCACCCACCCTGCCCACAAGCCAATCTACCAACTTGAACAAGTATTTTGACGAGAGTACTGGCATGTCATGTTACACAGAGAACTTTCCAAACAAGTACCCAAAACCCATTTGAAGTCTGAAGGGAAGTGGAAGAGACCTGGTGTCCAACAGAGTCTAAGTTGGGTTCATTACACAACCCATAAGCCAGAATCACGGACTGTTCTCTTAAATGACCTCTTCCAAAATATCAACAAAAATGAAGTATATCTGGGGATCATTAATTAAACTTTTTTCAAATTTACTATATATGTGTATGTAAGGTAGTATTCAGTGAATATCTGAAAATGTAAAAATCATTCATCCATAACTGTGCATGAGTTGTATTCTCAGCAACGGAGCTCAGTTAAATGCAACTGGAATTAAGTAACAATAAGGTGGGGTTTTTTGTTTTTTTAATTTTTTTTAAAGTAACTTCTATACCCAATGTAGGGCTTTAACTCACAACCTAAGACCAAGAATTGCAATTTCCACGGATGGAGCCAACCAAGCGTTTAAGATAAATTTCTTCTAGTCAGTTTTTCTCTTATTAATAAGTGCCTGTTTGACTTTGTCTACTATTTTTGTATTAAATAGTTTGTATGGTGCATCCAAAATAAATAAATAATATATATATATATATATAATTTATTTGAGAGCAAGGAAGCATGTAGGGGGGAGGGGCAGAGGGAGAGTTCCAACCAGTCTTTATGCTCAGCACAGAGCCTGACACGGGACCATGAGTTCATGACCTGAGCCAAAATCAAGAGTCAGTGCTTAACAACTGGACCACCCAGGTACCCCCCCCGCAAAAAAATTTTTAATAAAATGCGTCTAGGGGTGCCTGGGTAGCTCAGTTGGTTAATCAGCTGCCTTCGGCTCAGGTAATGATCCCAGGGTTCTGGGATTGAGCCCTGCATCTGGCTCACTGCTCAGCAGGAAACCTGCTTCTTCTCCCACTCCCCCTGCTTGTGTTTCTTCTCTCTCACTGTGTCTCTCTTTGTCAAATAAATAAATAAAATCTTAAAAAAATAAAAATAAAAAATAAAATGCTTTTAATTCAAATGAATTCATGAAATTTGAGAAGGCACTATAAGATATTTTTCTTCAGGAAAATGCTACAGGTGAAAGGGACAGAAGCCTCAGAGGGACCTTCACCTTTTTTATCTTCTACTTTTCACCATCACTTTCTCTCTCATTATGCACCACCTCCACCAAAGTGCCTAATTTCTAGACTTTCCAACTTCTTCCTTTCTTAGTCCAACCTGTTTGCACAAGGGGTACACCATCCCTTTTAGACTTAACAGAAGACTGGCAAATACATGACCACATTTTGGTCCTGCATGTCCTCTCTGGATCCAAATTTATAGACCAAGTACTTTGTCTAACACAAGGTTTGTTTGTTGGCAAGTGGCAGAAAGATTAACAAAGCCGAGATCTTTAAACTTTAAAATACTGAGGCATGCTGGTTTTAGCATATATAACTTTTAAAAATCAAATATTATACTCTACTCTTTGGAAATTTCAAAACATGTTTCTCCTGAAAAATGAAGGGGAAAGGAAAGGGGAAAGGAGAAAGGAAGGAGGAAAGGGAAGGAAGAGGGAAGGAAGGGGGAAGAGGGAAGAGGGAAGAGGGAAGGGAAAGGAAGGGAAGGGAAGGGAAGGGAAGGGAAGGGACAGGAAGGGAAGGTAAAGAAAGAAAAAAAAAGAAAAGATATACCCTTAGCTCCTTAATTAACATGAAGTTTTAAATCTCTCATTCAACTTAGATACAAACCTGTATGGGTGGAATATCTGGCAGTGATGGAAGGTTTTCAGGATTGGTAACTGAGGGGATTAGCTCTATTGCTGTAACAGATGGGCTGGTGGGACCTCGATTTGCATTTGCCATGGTAGCTGTAGTAGGGCTGGTTGGATTGATTGTGGTGTTGTGCACCGACACAACAGGAAAGGGTCCAGCATGCCCTGGGTTTGAGTGCTGTTAAGAAAAAAGATGTTATCATTACATGGTCTGCCAAGATATCCTAATATGAACTATACCTTCACAACACTTTTTAGTTTAGGGAAGATTCACAAATGTTTGACACCTGTGACTGAGAAACAAAGAAGTTAACACTATCTTAACAATAGCTAAGACAAAGAAGCAACCTGTGTCCATGCACAGATGAATGGACAAGGAAGGCGTGGTATGTATGTGGGTCTGGCCATGTATAAAATGTACATGAGTGTGTTTGTATACAGAGTATTATTCAGCTATAAAAAAACAGGCAATCATTTGCCACAGCATGGATGGACCCTGAAAGCATCATGCTAAGTAAAATAAGACAGAGGAAGACAAATACTATATGATCTCATTTATATGTGGAATCTTAAAACAAAGCAATTGCATAGAAAAACAATTCAGATTTGTGGTTTCCAAAGGCAGAGGATGAGAGAAGGGGGAACTGAAAGTGGTCAATGGGAAAAGGTACAAACTTCCATTTGAGATAAAAAGTTCTATGGATGTGACATATACAATACAACCATAGTTTTAACACCATTGTATGATATACAGGAAAGCTGTTAAAAGTAAATCCTAAAGAAGATGTGGTACGTACACACACACACACACACACATACCCACAAACACATATTAATCAGCCATCAAAAAGAATTAAATCTTGCTATTTGCAATGATGTGGGTAGAGCTAGAGCATATTATCCTAAGCAAAATCAGTCAGAGAAAGACAAATACCATATGATTTCACTCATATGTAGAATTTAAGAAACAAAACAGATGAACATATGGAAGGGGGGGGGAAGAATAGAAAAAAAAAAGAGAGAGAGGGAAACAAATCATAAGATACTCTTTAAAGACAGAGAACAAACTAAGGGTGGAGGAGGGGGGTGGGTGGGGGGTGGGCTAGGTGGGTGATGGGCATTAAAGGAGGGTACTTGTGATGAGCCCTGGGTGTTGTATGTAAGTGATAAATCACTGAATTCTACTCCTGAAACCAATATTGCATTGTATGTTATCTAATTAGAATTTAAATAAAAAACATGAAAACAATAAATCCTAAGAGTTCTTATTATAAGGAGGAAAAAAATTTTTTTCTCTTCTTTTTATTGTATCTATATAACATGATGGATGTTAGCAGAACCTATTGTGGCAATCATTTCACAATATATGTAAAATCAAACCATTATGCTGTAAGCCTTTATACAGTGATATATGTTGATAATTAATCAATAAAACTGGAAAAAAGTTCAAACAACTGAGGAAAATGAGAAAATTCTTTTAATTACCAGATACAGGCTTTTGTGAACAAATTTCCTGAGGATCATGAGAAAACAAAACCAGAAAAAAAACAGGAATGAAAATCAATGTTGAATTCTAACTTACTCTAAAAGTGACAGAAATGCAAGTATATATAAATGAATAGGAAGGGAGAAAAAGACTCCATCTATCTCATAAAGAAATGCATACATAAAAGAATTTTACTTTTATGTTTCCTAATATTCTTTTTTTTTTTAAGATTTTATTTATTTATTTGACAGACAGAGATCACAAGTAGGCAGAGAGGCAGGCAGAGAGAGGAAGGAGCAGGCTCCCTGCTGAGCAGAGAGCCTGATGCGGGGCTCGATCCCAGGACCCTGGGATCATGACCTGAGCTGAAAGCAGAGGCTTTAACCCACTGAGCCACCCAGGCGCCCCTATGTTTCCTAATATTCTTAAACAATTGTTTAGGAATTATTGTAATGAAAATCTGGTCCTGAAAAAAATCTTTTTAAGCTTAATATATTGTCTTACTGTCGCTGGAAATTTAAGAATTTTTAAAATTGAGAGACATTTTTCCCACAGAAAACTGCAACTAACTGATTTGTAAGTCTATCAAACGTAAGTACATTAAAATAAAATTCTGTAGAAAAAATAGAAGATCAATTCAAGTCCAAGGAGAAAAGACAATAAAATTTTGACTTCAAAAAAAGAGCTTGATGGGCGCCTGGGTGGCTTGGTGGGTTAAAGCCTCTGCCTTCAGCTCAGGTTGTGATCCCAAGGTCCTGGGATCGAGCCCCGCATGGGGCCCTCTGCTCAGCAGGGAGCCTGCTTCCCCTCCTCTCTCTCTCTGCCTGCCTCTCTGCCTTCTTGTGATCTCTGTCAAATAAATAAATCTTTAAAAGAAACAAAACAAAACAAAAAAGAGCTTGCTACAGTATTTGGGATTCTGGTGGATTGGTTTATAAGAATGATACAAAGGTTTTACTTTATAAAGTCAATACTTACAATATGCCAGAAAATACATCCTCAGCAACCATTTAAACTTAAGTTTATAATAGAACTTTAAAATGTCAACTGTAAACGTGAGGGAGTACTCATTTTTCAAGTCTTTCCAGAGGTACTTCGGCCTAAAAGTTGAAGGACCACTGCTCTGAGACTGTTTATCCAACTTTAGTATACAGATTAATCAGAGAGTTAAGTAAAAATTTATTATTTCTAAGTATTCTGCCCCTAGAAATTCTGCTTCAGTAACTATGCTTCAGAATCTATTTCTGACAACGACCCCTGCCATTCTGATGGTCATTGAAGGATGCTTTGAGAAATATCACTATAACATTATAAAATTAACTTTATTCTTTTATAACTAGAAATCACATGTAAAAGTAGCCTGATTTTATAATCCTAACTTCTATTCGAATATAACCTGCTATTCAGGCAAAAATTAGAAAACATGTTTCTAAATACATTTATTTTTAAGAGTAGGCACATCTATATCCTTAAAAGAAAAATAAGCAAAGAGAAGGAGGGGGGATTAAATAATTAAATAACATATAGCATAGCTCTATTGTTTTCAAAGTCCCTTTTATAGATTAGGTTCCAAATACCACATTAAAACGTTAGAGGAACAATTTCAGGACACTAAGGTTCTAATCTTAACTTTACCATTACCTCTTGTGATTATGGATAAGTAACAAGCTCCTTTGTTTTTTACTTCTGTAAAATGAATTGGTTAGACTAAATTAGAGGTTCTTAACCCACAGTATATAATGAGTTGAATCCCAGTAAAGAAACTCTTAAAATTGAATTCATGTGTACGTGTATTTTTCTGGGACAAGAAGATACACAGCATCAATCAAATTCTCAAGGCTATCAATGGCCACACAGCAACCCCCCCCACCACCACCAACTGATTAAGAAGCATGATGTCTTTTAGTTTTAAAATTTTATGATTCTTACAAATGTAACTCTAGGCATACTTGTCTTTGGAGGTGTGGCTGCATCATGGAATACTGAGGGCCGCTGTGCCTGGGTATCCCTGGTATTCGGGCAGCATTCTGAGCCAATCTCATCTGATGGGCTTGGAAAGCTCCACAGTTCATGTTGCCTCTTTGCATTGTTTGCACACTGATCAATCTCGGAGGCTACAAAAGGCAGAAATTGAATTTACGTAATAATATTTTTTATAAATTTACCTTTCAATTATAAAATGTTATGATAAAAATCATTCAGTCAGGACAGAAGGGCATAAAGTAAAAAGTATAAGTCACATTCGCCCCATCTCTAGCCCCAATCCCTTACTCTCAGTATATGTGTGTGTGTGTGTGTGTGTGTGTATTTAAAGCCTATTAACATTAACTTATCTAACCCTGGATTAATGGTTTTGATTCGGATGGGGAAGGGGAGATCAGGAGAGATACAGGGATGCAAATGATTTGAACGAATACCTAAAGAATTTATCAGATTGGGGGGCCTGGGTGGCTCAGTCGGCTAAGCATCTGACTCTTGATTTCAGCTCAGGTTTTGATCCCAGGGTCGTGGGATCAAGCCCTGTGTGGGACTCCGCATTCAGTGTGGCATCTGCTCCAGATTCCCTCTCCCCCAACCCCTTCTTAAATAAATAAGTAAGTAGGTAAGTAAGTAAGAACTTATCAGATCCTAGGCAAAAGTTATCTGGCCTTCTGGCCCAAAACCACACGTGAAAAACAAAAAATATCTGGTCTGGAGGAACAAAATCTTTTGCTCCTCCATAGTACTAGTGAATTAATTTCGTTTCCCATGTTAAGTATTTTATTTAACACCTTTTCTCACATCTTCCCCAAATCCCTGCCAAACCCAGAGCAAATATTTAAACTCTAACCACTGAGCTCTGTCCCTGTTAGTAACATTGAAATGTGTAATGCATCATCCTTACAGGACAGAGTGTAATCTTAAGGCCTTCATAATTTTTGCCAATCATGCCATGATGTTGTAATACTCACCTGTTGCTGTAACATCTGTGGGGCTGCTTGTCTAGGGTGCTGCTGTGTTGTTGTTGTGGTTGTTGATACAGGTGCAGGGGGCTGCTGCATTCTCATCTGTTGCAACTGCTGATGTTTCTGTGCATATACTTGCTGTTGCATGTGCTGGAGTCGAAGCTGTGCTAAGTTAATCTGTCCAGGGGTTTTACTAATGTGGTTTGTCCCTGGAGGAACTTGCCCAACTACAACATTAGGAGTATAACCAGGAGCTGGTTTACTCTCTATTACTAGATTACCTGAAGGATTTAAAAAATGAGAATAATTTGCATATAAATGATTAAATCATCTACTTTGTGGATTAGTCACTATCTTTTCCTCTCTCCTTTAACACTATCAGCACTCAAAGCTTCTGACAGTACAGCAGAGATGGGAGCTAGGTTTAAAGATAATAAAAATCAGAAACAGTCCAAAGACAAATAATTGACTTTTGATTCTTCAGAATAATATATTACCTGCCCTTATTCTTTATTTACATTTACATACATGCATAGAAAATTAAAAATCTGAAAGAGATATCTGCAGAAGAGGCCCATTCAGTCAGTCAAAATCAAGTCTCCCAGACTGATTCAAGGATACCTAAGATTGCTAATGCTGATGCCATCTGCTTTTGAATTGCCACAGCCTGCAGGGCAGAGTATAACACTGCTCCAAAACTGTCTGCGGAAACATGGAATGTTTTAACCACTTATGTCTCTAAAAATGAACACTTTCCTTGCCTCTCACAAAGCCCACTGTTTTCTAGAACAGAAAGCAAATTTTAGGAGTGTCTGATGTAAGGCAGAGTTGGCAAACCTTTCCTTTAATGCGTCAGATATTTTAGGTCTTGCAGGCCATATAAGATCTATCATATGTTCTTTCATTTTCATTTGTTTTTACAACCCTTTAAAATGTTTGTTTAAAGTTTGTTTAAAAAACAAACTTAGCTAACAATGCCACACAAAAACGGTTTGCTAATGCCTGATCTAAGGCTATAACCAAATTTTAATGTACACAAAGACTACATTTTTTACAGAAATTCATCCACCACTGCTTTTACAACTTCCAATGGTGAGGACCTATGCTGAAAGTGAGTTTACTCAATCTGCAGACAATTCTGTCGAGAAGTTTTTCGCCTTTGTTGTAAATTGAGTTGTTTGTCTGTCTCCCTGTAACCCTCATCTATGGTCAGCAGGTCCACATTGTGGAGTAACAATAGTAAAGTCCATTTCTCTTTCATGTGGAAAAGAGCTACTCTTAACTTTCAAACCTTCCTCAGTACATGACTTTCAGACACATCAGCATCCTGAAGTCCTCCTCTAGTGGACAAGTTGGTACAATTAATATGCAAACTACTAAGCATCTAATAAATTCCTCCAGAGAAAGAAGCCCCGTTTGCTAAGTTTTCGACATGAAATAGTCATTATCAATTTTAAAAGATGTGGAGGAAACGTTAGCAATGATACACATAGGAGATTCTCAACATCCTTATAGATGTCATGAACATAGCTCAAGTGAGTTTCCAATGAGGAACATATTTTCCAAGAAATTTACATGTTAGAGTGAAGCTTTAAGTATTTAAAATTTGCTTGAGATGTTTTCTCCTCCTAATTCGCTGTTCCCAGTTACATTCATAAAGCTAATTATTTCTCACCTAAATTGACTACATTCTTTGCCCAGAAGGTGGGATCACAATGGAAACGAATTGCTCCATTAGCAGCAGGCACAGGATCACACCGTGCTTTCAAAATATGGCGCAATTGAAAAGTAATCTTAAAGGGAAAAAATTCACATTAGTCTTAAAAATTATAAGTATCACAAAACATAAATGATAAAGACATAAAAGCTCATGTAGCCCTGTAATGTCAATCTCAGATGAGACAGTATGTGTTTAAAAGACTAACTATATAAGCAATCAAATGCACATGCTTGAACTTCTGATATTTCTGGTGATAAACTACATTATGATACTAGGTATCTTCATGTCAGTAAATACTTTATGATTCCATTCATATGCAATTCTAGAAAATAAAAGAAATCAGACTAGTGGTTGCCTAGGGTCAGGAGTAGAGGGGAATAAGGAAACTTTTGCGGGTGGTGTAATTTTTCTGTACCTTAACATGGTGGTGGTTACACTTGTAAAAATACAAAATCTATACTTCATACAAGTGCAGTTCCCTGAAGGAAATATCTTAATAAGTCAACTTAAAGACCATAAATATACTATGTGTCTCACCAGTCGCTTGCTGTACAGTAGTGCTGTGCTGCTGCCACTCGCAATTGCCCAGTTCGTAAAGTTCATAACGTGCTTCACCTGCCGGGAAAGGCCTGTGATGTCGCTCTGCTGCTGCAGTAACTTCATCTGTCTTTCTTTTGTAACGTTCTGAAACAAAACAAGAATTTAATGAAAAATTCTATGTGAAAAATTCAACTCACAATTTTTATTGCAAATGAAGAGAATACCTACATTACTTTTTAAAATTAGGATAAGTTGACAAGCACCTCATTATTTAATGAGTCTCTGATCAAAAAAAAAAATTCACTAACAAAAGCGACCTAAAACTTAAGTTCTCTAACAAGGGACATTCCATATACAGATATTAATGTTAGTTGATGTCTCTCTTTTCCTTCAGAAGATAAAAATGTCCTTACTAAAAACAGTATCTATTAGGCTGATGCAATACACAGAATCTATCGCATAATGAGCTGACCTTTAGAAATACGATACACTCAACTCTGTACTTTTAAGACAAAAGAAAATTTTGTGTTGCAAGTGCCATCTACTGGTGCATCATGAAGCTGGAGTTAAAATCTCTTCCTTTAAATACTTAAGACAAAATGAGAAACTAATTCGAAAGTTCTAAGAGAAGAGTTAGCGAAACTTTTAAAACGACAAAAGTTCATAAAAGAACAAGAAAGTCAGTAAAGTTGAAGGACCAGTTCGGGGGTAAATGCTGCAAAGTAAAGTTAAACTATCTGGGAACGAAACTCCTAGAAGCAACAGGTGATGTTCTATATACACTTTGACATTTGGCATGCCAAACAACCTATCTACTTGGTACTTAGCCTTTTCTTAATGCCTCAAGTTGATTTACTGGACAATTTTTTTTCCCCTAAGAAAACAAATTGCTCATTTTGTAATGTAAAACAGGTGACAAAAGCATTCAACTGATAGAAGCTTGATTCACAACTTCCCTGGAAATTATCCCTTTTACAAAGCTTAGGAAAACCTCTATTTTACAAAGTTTAAGAACGTATTACACTAGGAAACATCTATTGTTTAAATTCAGCATATTAGGAGTATGTGGCAGATTTATCACTTGGTATTTCTGTATATTTTAGTATTAAGAGGTATCTTTTCACTCAAAAATTCTTGAAACAGTTTAAGAACATTATTTTAGACCTATACTTAAAATGTACTTGCAGTAACTTAAAAGGCTATCAAAAACAGTTGCTGGTCAATACTCTCCATTCACAGTCCTTTTGAAAACAAAAATCTAACAGTTAAATGCATCAGCTGGATGTACAATAGGAAAGAGACCTCCAACTTTAACTGTATGTGTGAGAATACTTTTAATCTCACAACTGTGTCTCAATAAAAAAAAAATATATTTCAAAAGACAAAATTCAGAAATAACACTGCCAACATAATTTCTTTCATTTCTGTGTAACTATGTGTCTAATATATCTACAATGGTCTATGAAGGAATGAAACAGACCAAAAAAACACACTACTGTGGAAAATTTGAGGTTAATAGTAATGGAAGTAAAAAAACCAAATACATAGTTTAAATTGCTACCATTTAATGGTGCAGAAAACACAACTCTGTATCATCTAAGCCTACTACAGAGCACCAAATTTTGAAAACCAATCAACTCTGGTCAGTAGAGGGGACGCTTTGTTTAAAACTTAATTTGGATTTCACAAATTGACTGGATTCTCATCTAAAAATTTGTATCTACATATTAATCTCAAAATATGCAACACAAAAACAGTACAACAAAATTATCATTAAGTTTAAAGTTTACAAATTTCAAAATGAGCACCATTTTTAGCAAAACTGTGGAATATTTTTAAAATAAAAGTGAAACACACAAAGGCTATACATTCACATGAAAAATTAAATTGAGGCCCTATCTCGGGGAAGGGGAGGATGTGGCAGGTTGGCTTTGTCTTTGTTTATAGAACATTTTAGTAATAATTCTTTCATTCCTAAGAGGACAACTCTATCTCCTAATTTATGCAGCTAAAATCAGTATTATTAAATTGGGCTGCAAATTAACTAACTCAATAAAGCTCTATTTTCCAATAGAAAATGAAATTTTAAAAAATGTTTTTAACTTTCTTTACTTCCATGCCCCCCCCCAACCACTCTAAAAGAGCTTTCAATAAACATTAAAAACAGCTAAAGAGCAACAAAAGCAGTTTTTGTTTTATTTTGGCTTTGAACCGTACCTCTAGCTGCTGTAAGAGAGATTTTCCTTTCTTATTAATTTCATTGATAAGGGTGAAAATGGCCACTTTAATTTCCTGTTCTACTCGTTTGTTAGTCTCATTTACTTCTTTTATCCTGAATAAGAGAAATGCATCATTAGGTTATTTATCCTATGTCTCTGAATCATCAACTGTTACAGAAATTCATCCAACTGGGCACTTAAAGAGAGTAATTAAAATTAAACCTTTGTCAAAATGTACAACTTATGTTTCGGTAGACCTGAGCACTCAATTTGGTCCAAACAAGTTATATATAAAGAATGGAATATGTAGTAATTTTAAATTAAATTTATAAAGGCCAGTTTATTAGTCTAGATGGTAATCTCCTTTAGTTTCTATGACATGAATGTGATATATAAACATCTGACATCAGCAATTCCTTTCTAGTGTCAAATATGGCATGTTGGATCTACTAAACACTTTTTAAGAACAATGTGCAAAAGAACAATGTTGCAAACAGTAATTATCGTTTAGAATAATAGGAATTAAGCTTTGAAGCATTTATTTTCTCCTGTAACTTAATCACTTCAAATGTGGGTTCTGATACACGCTCTCCCCCCATAGGTTCTTCCCAAAACAGTTCTCCTACTGTACAGAATTAAGGGTATAAAACAACTTCAATCCATTTACAAAATGTGCCAGATGTTTTAGAATAGGTATAAGCCCCCATTTCGGTAATGAAAGGTTTAGTTGCAGATATGAAATAGCTAATAACCTATTTCATGGAGTGGGGGAGAGGGATCCCACCAATATAAATACATAAAATGTTAAACAATCAAAGAAAGTAGCCTTCAACTTTTATACATTCTGCTTCTTTACAAACTATTTCTCATACTTTCAACCTCTAAAATGTATTTTATTTGGCCAATTCAAATTTGAGTAACTTTAATACAGTCTGAGTAATTATAATGTAATTTTCCCTCCTTTGTCTATACATCAGCGCTTATTTGGGCACTTATTTGAAAATTTTATTCAATTCTGTCCTTATCTTACTAAAGTAAGTGGAAGATTTCTTTTTAAAAGTAAGAGTGCTAATTACTATTGATAATGTAGGATTCCAACTTAAAATGACTCAGCCAAAGACTAAAATCATTGAACAGGCTAAAAGCAGAGAACTGTTAGCCATAGTCAAATCCTCATTAGATTCAAGCAGGTCTATATGTGTTCAATTGTGAAGAAATAAATCAATGTACATTTAAAAAATGGAGACAGATCATAAAAGAGTGTCTAAAGGGAAGTATTACTGGAGATTTCAATACTTTAAAATAAATCTGGAGATGAAATCATTAGTCTCCCCAACCCTCTGTAATTTTATAACACATAAATCTCTTGTCTACTTTTCTACAAAGATTCAGAAAACACATATGCAAAATATGTACAAAATATCTGTATAAATATCTGTATAAAATATCAAATATCTGTATAAAATATCTGTATAAAAATATGGGACTGCCTTATGAGTCAACTCACTATCTTTCTCTGAAAAGGACATTCATCTATTATTTGTGAGAAGACAGCTGCCACCCTCTCCAGTATCACCCACAACGTAGCAGAATCACTAAAACATCCTGACATTTTTGTAACAATTAACCATCCATAAATAGTGTATGCAATATATTAATGTAGGGCAAAGTGGGGGTTAGGAGCACCTACCCCCATGAAGTAAAAAATTCACGTATACCTTTTGACTCCCCAAAAGCTTTAGCTAATAGCCTATTGCTGACCAGAAGCCTTATTGCTAACATACAGAGTTTAATCAGCTTAACATGTTTTATGTTATATGTATTACATATTATTATAATCTTACAATCAAGTTAGCTAGAGAAAAGAAAATGTTATATTTATTGAAAAAATCTGTATAAGCGGACCCTCGCAATTCAAATCCATGTTGTTTTAGATCTACACCCTCAGAGTAAGTAGCCTTTCCTTTTGGTATCACTTCTTAAGATGAAAGTTCTACTACCTTATAGTCTAAATATAATATACTATTCATTCATCAATTTAATACTTTTGAATATTGTCATTTTTCATCATTTTAATCATCAAAAATTAAATATTCTAGAAGTACCTAAAAGTCTCATTATTTGTGAAACTGAAAAACAAATACTTATAACCCTATTCATACCCTCAGGAATATACAGATTTTAATTATACCAGCTTCAGGTGTTCATCTTTCTACAGAGTCCTCACCTTGTTAATGTACTCATTTATGGAACTTACTCCAACTTGACTTATCAATAAATTTAGTTCATTTAGAAATGAACCTGAATAAAATTTTTAAATGCTGATGGTATTACTGATAAAAATAATGCCAATAGTTAAAATTTGAGGGCTTACTATGTGCCAAACTGTGCTATACATTCATCTTATACTACTACTACTAAGAGAAGTAGTATTTTTAATTCTTGCTTTACATATGGGGAAGGTAAATTTATCCAACATTCTTTTCATACTCTCTCCTCTATACTATGTCTTCCACAGAGTTAAAATTTGTAATTCAACTCTCCATGTATTAGTTGCTTTTTCCACAGTAATTTAAGGCTTTACAAAGTTTAGAGTTTTGTTGATTATAAAGTGGTCAAAGATGTATCTTAAGAGGATTCAAAATTCTGGTGAATTAAATCTTACTTATTAACAAGTATTATAATCCAAACTCAAACTTTTATCATTTACCCTTCCAAAAATGTATGCTTAATATGTAAACTGACCTACTGTGTTTAATAATTCTTTAAGTGGAATTATGGTTTTAAGCAACACACTTACCTATTCTGCACCTGAGTAGCTGCAAAATGAACATAATTCTTCTTCTCAAGAAGCTTAGCCAGTAGATTCTCAATTGCACCTTTCTGGTTTTGAAAAGCTTCTTCCAAAAACTGGTATCTTAAAACAGAAAAAAAAAAAAAAAACAAACTACATTTAGAACAGAAAATGTATTATTAAAATCCTTAAAATGAATTGCTACATGACTCAAACCTATGACCTCACTGAAACGATCAATATTCTATGCTGCCCTCACATACCTTACCTCGACAGCAACTTTTAACTACAAATCCCTTCCCTTCTGACCCAAGCCTGAGAAGTCATTTGGTAAGACAAAAAAAATTAACTTAAGAACTGTTCAAATGCTCTTATGTTAGAATTTTGATTCAGAATTACATTTTTTAAAAAATCCAAATATTGGAATAAGTTGTATACATTTTAAATCATAAAATATAACATTATAGAAATACTTTCAAAAGTGGGGAAACTACCCATAGTTTTAAAATCATAAAACCACTACTACTACTACTGTGATATATATTCCTTGGGCTTTTTATTATGTATTTTAAAATACAAGTATATATAATTTATGTGCAATTTTACATCTGACTTTTATCTCATCTTTAAAATCACCACTTGAAATAATTTTTCAGTTCTCTACTATGTAGTCAAATTTTTCCAAAAGAGTTGAACCAATTAAAAATCACCAACACTAGCTTTATTGTAGCTTTGTCAACATGAGTGGTGTCGTTATTATTTCCTAATATTACTGTGCAAAAATTTATACTTAATAGTAAAGACTACAGTTTTTTGGCTACTAGGAAGGTAGAATGGTTTTCTTTCTTATTTTTATTTCCTTTGTGTGAGTTGCACATTAAGTCGACAAATATTTCTGTATGCTAGGGATACATGAGTAAATAAATCCATTATTGTTCATATTCCTATGATAGGCACACATATGAAATGATACTATACTGTGATAAGAACTGTTATGGAGGGGAGCCTGGGTGGCTCAGTCTGTTAAGTGTCTGCCTTTTGACTCAGGTCATAATATCAGGAGTCCTGGGATTGAGCCCCACATCGGGCTCCCTGCTCTGCCTACTTCTTCCTCTGCCTGCTGCTCCCTATGCTCTCTCTCCCTCCTTCTCTTAGATAAATAAATAAAATATTTTCAAAGAAAGGACCTATAATGGAGATATATATAGTCTTAACAAGAACACAGCCTTAATACCAAGGAAAGCTTCACAGTGAAGTGGGAATAGTATTATCATATGCTAAATACAGAGACATATTTAAGGAACTACAAAGACTTCAATTTAGCCAAAGAAAGCCAGGCAAAGGTCAGAATATGAGGTAGTAATTAATAAAATCCAGAATCAGGCTGTGAAGGGCTGGGTGTACCATGCTAATGTTTGGATTTTATCTTCTTAGTAATGGGAAACCCTTGAAAAATTCTAACCGAGATCTAATAATCAGATTTATGCTCCAAGAAAATCGTCAGACAGAAATATAAAAGATAAATCCAAAGAAGAGAGAACAGGATGACCAGCTACAACTCTGTGACAGTAGCTCAGATAAGGTATCAAAATACAATACTAGCTGGCACAGCTGCACAAATAAGCCTGAACAATGGACTCTGTCAGAGAGATCAGCACCTTTGGTGATTTGGGAGTTTACATGCTGCAGTTAAAGTAAAGTCTATGGTATGACCTAAAAATTAAATGCCTAGCTAAGACACAGTCAAGAAAAGGTCACTGGAAATGAGTTCAAGATACTGACAAAGGTACGACTGTCTATGTAGATCATTAAAGGCAGGAATTGAGATTAAGACTAAGACGAGTATCTAAATGTCTGTGCCTTTAGTGAAGGTCTCACTTAAGGCAAATTTAGGAGAAAAGGTTAAAAAGTTGTGAACGCTGAGGAAAGTTTGGTAAGATGAAGGAAAATTTTGCTTAGTGCTTGGGTTCAAGGTGTAAAGGAAAAATGGAGGGCAGGAGAAGGCAAAATGTACAGCAATATGAGGACTGGTGTAATAGAGGATATTCAGCAAGTGACGTTTTTATTTTCTTCATTGCTTTTAAGAATTTTCTATTGTAATAAGGCATACATAAAGTTGACCACTTTAAGATTTTTAATAATTTATTTTTTAAAGCAAAACAAAATGAAGCAAGAAAACAAAACCCAAATCCTGTCTGCAATATAAAATATAATAACACTTTATAATTTATGTACAATATTAAACAGCAAAAAAAGATGTGGGAGTTTTAATTTTAAATTAAAACTATCAAAATTAGTTAATTAAAACTATCCAATGTTAGATAGATACATAACCCAAAGATTGTTGTATCATTTCATTCTTTCATTGAAGAACATTTGATTTATTCCATACACAATTTCTGTATGTCCAAAATAAAATTTTACTTTGTTAAATCTGTACAAATGAAGTAGGAATATGAGATTACCATGCTAACCTTTGTAACTCAATGAGCTTTAAATTAAGATAAAGAAAGATCTTTTGATACAGAGTTTTATTATGTCAGTAAATAGAAAGGTACCTGGTAGAAAGGTCAACCAGTATAATAATTCACAAAATTGTAATTCATAAAATTTAACCCTATACAAATCACAGTATTATTTAGTAACTGTCAGCATTTAACAGTTGATAAGATTTTACTCTGGCACTTCTAGGAAAATATATCATCTTAGTTTATAACCCAACTGAATATCTAGGGAAACATTTTTAGCTAGTATGTAGTAATTCTGACTCAGTATCTTTTTTTAAAAAAGATTTATTTCTTTTTAGAGAGAGAGTGTGTGTGCACATGTGTGAGTCGGGGGACAGGGAGAGGGAGAGAATCTCAAGCAGACACCCTGTTGTGTGCAGGGCCAACTTGGAGCTCGATCTGACAACCCCAAGATAATGCCCTGAACTAAAACCAAGAGTCATGGACTCTACTGACTGAGTCACCCAGGTGCCCCTCAATTTCTTTTTTAATTCAGTACTCCATTTTAAGAATTACATAAAACTTTAGTTCCACTGAACCTATCATACCTATAAAAAGGTATCTATTTATAGCCAACTCTGTTGTACCCCCTCCTGTTCTATTCTCAAGATTACTTTGAAAAATCCCAAACATTCTAAACATTTATCAATCTATATACAGCAAGAGCTGTTTTGAGAACTATGTTTTCAGATGCTGTGCTAAGTATCTTACATGGATTCTCTCATTTAATCTTTAGAAAAATGTACTGATATATGTACAATTACTATCTGCAGAGTAACAGCTGGATAATTTGGACAACCCTGTGTGTTAGTTCTTCAGAGAAATATATATTAATATTTATCCTACAGGACCTGTTCCAAGAGTTAAATTGGTCAAAACACACGAAGCACTTAATAAGCATAGGACTTTGCTTACTAGAGCACAGTAAGGGACTAAAATTAATTGTCACTGCTACTTTTTGCAGTAATTTTTAAATGATTTGCATTATGACTATATAAAGCTTCAAACCTTCAACAACAAAAAGCCCACCATACACAAAGACCTAATGCTTTTAAGAAAATTTTAAAATGAGGCTATGTTCCTTATTTAAAGTTCTGTATGATAATAATAACAATATGATAATAATAATAAATAATAATAAAATGATAATAAGCCCTAAGAGTTCAGGAAGAGTTACAGAGAGCAGCAAGTCTGAGAAACAATTAGAACCTAAAAGCGTAGAAATTTTGAGAAAGCTTGGGGAAGACATAAGGATTCTCATATAAACAGAATAGGGAGTAAAAGCCAGCTTTAAATCTCAAAGGGCACATAGTGACATCAGTTGACATTTCAATTTCGTATGACTTCAGTAGTACAACAGGCTATTACTTTCTAATGCTACATTCAAATTCACCAATATTTTCTTCTATAATGTCTAATCTGTTAATCCCATCCAAAATCAAACAGAAGAATAGTGAGTCTGGGGACAACTGTAATGACACTAATATATGTATAACTGGCTTCCCCAAATGGAAGGCAGAAGAGGAAAAAAAAATATTGGAAGAAATTATAATAATGGAGTACTTTTAAAAATCTGATGAAAAATATAACCCTACAGATCTAAAAACCTCAACATCCTCCAAACACAAGAAACGTTAAGAAAATTACTCTAAGGCATATTGTTTCCAAAGCACATAAAGACAAAAAAAAAAAAAAAGATAAAACCTTGAAAGTAGCTAGAAAGAAAAAGACATTATATACAGACCAATAAAGACAGAACAGGTAGGGCACATGGGTGGTTCGTGGGTTAAGTGTCTGCCTCTTGATTTCGGCTCAGGTAATGAGATTGAGCCCTTGGTCGGGTTCTGCTGAGCTGAGCGTGGAGCCTGCTTAAGATTCTCTCTCTCCCTCTCCTCCCCACTCCCACCCCCTCCCTGCTTGTGCACACTCAACCTCTCACATAAACAAACAAACAATAAACCTAAAGAAGGTAAAAGGAATTAAGATGAATACACAAAATAATGTGGGAAAAATACAATTTAGTGGGGATCAACAACCCAAAAGTTGTTTTTTTTAAAAGACTAATATTGACAAATCTATAAAAGACTGATTAAGAAAAACATAGAAGGCACAAATAACTAATATCAGGGATTAAAAAGAGGTCACCATCATATAGCTCTTAAGACATTAAAAAGATATTAATTTAAAAAGATATTAATGAGGGACGCCTGGGTGGCTCAGTGGGTTAAGCCTCTGCCTTCGGCTCAGGTCATGATCTCGAGGTCCTGGGATCGAGTCCCGCATCGGGCTCTCTGCTCAGCAGGGAGCCTGCTTCCCTTCCTCTCTCTGCCTGCCTCTCTGCCTACTTGTGATCTCTGTCAAATAAATAAATAAAATCTTAAAAAAATAAAAATAAAAATAAAAAGATATTAATGAAACCTTGCATTAAGAAATTTGAAAATCTAGGGGCGCCGGGGTGGCTCAGTGGGTTAAAGCCTCTGCCTTCAGCTCAGGTCGTGATCCCAGGGTCCTGGGATCAAGCCCCAAATCTGGCTCTCTGCTCAGCGGGGAGCCTGCTTCTTCCTCCCCCTCTCTGCTTGCCTCTCTGCCTACTTGTGATCTCTATCTGTCAAGTAA